AAGTGTTCAGCACACTTAAGAAGACTTTGGTGTTCTTTGAAGGTTTGAATGCTATGAAACACTAACAGCTGTTAATATCCTCAAACTATGAACTCATGCATCCTGCTCACATGAAAAGACTGAAACAGGAGTTTCAAACGCACTATTGTGTAACCACAGTGCACAAACCTCTGCTGAGAGGAAGGATCTGTGTTGGCTCTGCAGTCGTTCAGGTGTCTGCCGCTAAACACAGAGGGTCAGGCGCAGAGTCAAGATGAGAGTCTGGGGGCTCCAACCACTGCAGTGGGATGCCAGGCTGAGTAAATGAAAGGAGTAAATAAGACATTTGTGCCACGCAGAGGCCAAGTTGAACTGGATGACCTGTGACTTGATTAAAGTTTGGGATGGGCCATAATTAAGACCAACAGAGGAGATAAATCTGTGAGCGCATTTTCTCTCATTCAAAAGGCTGTAAGCGGCGTCCATATATCATGATAAGGTTGGAGTGAGAAGAGCCTTTTTCAGCCTCGGATGGCGCTGCACAAAATCTGCTAAATGTCCTTAAGCAACACTGAGTTGCTGAAGGTGAAAGTGGGGAAAAATTAGGGGGTGTTGCACTGGAAGGAAGCGAGCTTATTGGATCTGTTTGAAGCTACAAAGTTGGTCATATCTGAGCTGTCCTACTTGCATTGTTCAACATTCCTTAAAAATTGGACGAAGGGAACATTGGCAATGTAGGCAGTGCTGCTGAATCAGTGGAGTCCTCTCAGGAAGGCCAGATTCTCACATTCGTCACATTATAACTTAAACTGTCCCAACTTTAAATCACTTTTCCTTGGGTTTAATGCCATGCAAGTCCTGCACTGATACCTGAGGAGTTGTGGGACATGAACCATCAAAGAGCCTGTCGAGGTACATTTACATGCGCTCCTCCCCAAAACCAGCAGTGTAGCTATTAATAGGACAGATGCTGAAAGTTGGCTTGAACAGGGAAAAGAGCCACAGCAGAGTTTATCATGAAGAGGGAAAATTTTCTTCTGGTAACTTCTATCATCGTAACTTACAATCAGTGCCATAAACTGACCTGAAAAACTCGTATAAATTGTAACTCAGGTTTTTCTTTTCTTACTAAATGCCAATTCTCTGCGATTCCTCTCATCCCTGTAGGTTGAGTCGGCGGTACAGGCGATCCATCAGGGCAGACGGGAGCTGCTGGAAGAAGCTTGTCGCTCCTATACCCGCAAACGCAGAGTCCTCATCCCCGAGGACCTGAAGCACATCATCGTGGACGACCAGCACGGCTTGCTCTACTGCTACGTGCCCAAAGTGGCCTGCACCAACTGGAAGCGGGTGCTCATGGTTCTGACGGGCGTTGCCGGGTCCAACAGAGACCCTCTCGCAATCCCTGCCAACGAGGCCCACATCCCCGGAAACCTCCGCACACTTTCTGAGTACTCCACCTCCCAGATCAATCAGCGGCTGCGCTCATACCTGAAGTTCGTCTTCGTGCGCGAGCCCTTTGAGCGGCTGGTGTCTGCGTACCGCAACAAATTCACACGGAGCTACAACACAGCCTTCCATAAACGATACGGCACAAAGATAGTGCGGCAGCACAGGCCGGACCCGCAGCCGGAAGCTCTGGAGAAAGGAAATGACGTCTCCTTTGAGGAGTTTGTCTATTACCTCGTGGACCCAGCCACCCAGCGAGAAGAGCCCTTCAACGAGCACTGGGAGCGGGTGCACTCACTGTGCCACCCCTGCCTCATCCACTATGACGTGGTGGGGAAATACGAGACGCTGGAGCAGGACTCCCGCTACGTGCTGCAGCTGGCCGGGGTGGAGGACCAGGTCAGCTTCCCCGCCTCGTCCAAGAGCACCAGGACTACAGGAGACATGGCTGCCCAGTTCTTCCACAACATCAGCCCTTTTTATCAGAAGAAGCTGTATAATCTCTATCGCATGGACTTCCTGCTCTTCAATTACTCTGTACCAGCCTACCTCAAGTTTAGATGAGGCTGGATTTCACTCGCGCACACAGAAACTAAATTACAGAGCCTGGACACCTGCAGAAGAAGCTTCTCCATGCAAACACTGCAAGTTCTGTTTTAAGAGAAAGAAGAGCAATCCTTATCAGAGCTCCAAAGAAAACTAATTTTATTCTTGAGACCGAACATTGCGATGGAGAACTCTTGAAGGAATCATGAGATCAACATTGATGCCTGAAAAAATAAAACAAAAATTTTAAAAAAAGGCAAATCCTCTTGTACTGTAGTTATCGAGCAACTAGATGTTGCTCATTGCTTTTGAATGTGTGAAACAGGGTTGGGCGATATGTTGAAACTTTCCAACCGGGCCACCGTCAGTCCAACTACTGCATTGCTATAATATCTGTTTGCAATCATAAAAGAGATATTTGAGGAAAAGAAGAATCCGCTATTTGGGTTTATGGTTGTAACTCTCTAAGGTCTACGTCATCATACGTGATAGCTCTAACCGTATATTTATGAGCGAGGCAAAACTGGCTTTTCTGTTGTCAGCCAGAATGATTCGTTTCTTTGTTCCCAGTTTTCCAAATCTTGGGAGAAAAATACTCTGATTGCCTGGAGTTGGAGTTAAGGTTAGATTAAGGTCCAATAATGACAATTTAAACCTCAGACGGTTCAACCGGACAAACCAAAGGATCTAAACTAAGCAGTAAGATGAAGTGCGTCCACGCGGTACAAACAGCAGGATAACCTGCTTGCTAATTGATTAGGTTGCCCAACTGCACATGTAGTTTTTGGTCTGCTTGTTTAATTTGATTGAATAATATAGATGTTTTTATTCAGTGCCAATCAATTCAACAGCAGCCACTTAAAAATGGCAAAAGTGTTTAGTGTTTTGTGAAATGTTTTCCTATACATGTACAGTATGAATTGAGGTTCGATTTAGTCTAATATGTCTCCATTTAAAAAGATTTCTGCTTGTAATTATGCAGAATCACAACCTGAAGCTTTTGGCTTTTGCATGCAGGATGTGAAGAGCGGAAAAAGGGAACGCATCGCCGAAGTGCAAACTGAAAACTGCTGGCTTTTATTGGACAGTAATTTGAATCTAAATTTGAAAATGCTCGTCAGTGGTTAGTAGAACAAGCGTTGGCCTGGATATCTGCTGGCACTCCTCAAAGCTCAGAGGAATCATTGGATAGTAGAAAGGTTGATTGCTTCCTGGTCCATTATGTTAGCATAATATGCCCAGCCCCACCCACCAACCAAAAAGGAGCAAGAAAGTGCTAAAAACCCAGCTTTGGACTATATGCGATATAAACGTATATATTTTTCCGATCACTCAGTCCTAGCATGGAATATTTTTGGCTTCATTTTATTCCGGTTGTGGTCTGCTGTTTTTAAAAGTGTATTTGCACGACAAACGTTATTGTTGCAAGTTCCATAGCATAATGATTAAAGTATTAAATTCATGTTTAGACAGTGAATGTCTCTCAACATGTGTGCCTTTGCTTTTGGGCCTTTTTTTGGGGGGGGGGTCAGTTCTAAATGACAACTTTTGTAACTGTGACTTTGTTTACTTTTTCGTACTGTAGGAGGAGACTTCTGTGTGAACTATGATATTGTCTTTATTTATTGTGCCATTTCTGATACCACAGAGTCAAACCAACCAAAATAGGTAAAGTTTCTCTCACGATTTTCAAATAAAATGCATCTCAGAAAGAACTTGTTAATTCCTTAATAGTCACAAGAATTCTCAATGCAATAATGCAGAATACGCCGGGCACATTTTGCATGTCAATCTTTTATTGAAATGATAAACCATGACTGGATGTGACCTAGAAGTGTTTATAAAGGCAACGGTACTACGAAGTCCAGTCAAGCTCGATGTCAGTGGAAACAGGATTAATTACTGTTTCTGAGTGCTATTTCCAGACCACTAATGACGAGCTAAAAGTGCATATCAAACAATTGAGAAGGCCCCATACAGAAAAGTGCATACTAAATCATTTGTTCACAAAAACAGCACAAAAACAATCCGTGCCATCAATACCTGGAACACAGACACTGTTAAATACGACAGGCATCGTGCTGCACAAAAAAAAAAAAAAAAAAAAAAAAAAAAATGCAAACAAAAAAAAAAAAAAAAAAAATAAGAGATCCAGTAGAAATTTGGCAAGAACCAACTGAAGGCTCGTCACGGTTTAAAAGGCACAAATCTACAGAAAATAAGCACGATTAAAATCTAACATTCATCCAGACTGTGCAACGCCTAGTATACATTTACACTCAGTATATATGTTATTGCCTGAATACGATCATTTGCCGTGTAACATTTAGGAGCTGACAACAGTTGTACAGATGTGCCAACAGTTATTACGGTGGTTCTACATTACTCCCACTCGCTGCATCCACTTTGAATGGACTGTGGTTTTGATAATGGCCACAGTGAGCTGGTGAATATGGAGACTAAAGTGCAAAACAACTCCACCCTGTCCACGTGTTTATTTTTTCTTCCACCACCTGTTTCCTGTATTCTCGTTTTTTTACATGCTGCTTATCTACAGTGGGAATATCTGTGCCTCAGTGCTGGGTGTGAAGAGCTATCAGCAGTGAAAACAGTAAAAATTGATATAAACTATAGTGCAAAAGTCCCTCATTTCTTTATATTTTGCTAAAATGGGTGCAATGTAGTATGCAATGCAAAAACAGTGTCTGTACGATTGTAACAAGCTTCAAAGCATTTTTGTGATTTTTGTTCAGCAGCCCTCACGATTAGTTCTCCAGGCTTTTTGAAGGACACTCAAAGCTCTTCTCTGGATCTTTCTACCTTTTGTTCAGTTCTCTGCCGAGATCACTGCTTCAGTAATGTTGAGGTCTGAGCTCTGGGGAGGCCGATCCATGACTCAGTGCTGCACCGTGTTTTGGGGATCATTGCCATGCAGACAAATGAAGTTGCTGCCAATTAAATGCTTTCCGTGTGGTATTGCATAGTGGATCATGATCTCCAACACCACAGTTTCCTCACATTTTTTTAACAACACACTGCACACCATGGCAAGAGATGCCAGGTTTTCAGATAATACCTGTTCATAAGTCGGTGTTAATTGGCTTAACAGACAAAGTATTCCTCTGAAAATGGTCCGGTGCAAGCACTGGACTGAAAATGGGTGAAAACTCAGCCACTGTCCAAAGAAAAACTTTGAAAGACCTTCTGAAAACCTGGAGAACTGTTGTTCAAGACCTTCTCTTGAAGGGGGGAGGGGAAGCAACATATAATGAATGGATGGGGAGACTTGAGATTATTGCACAGTAGTGTATGTTGTGAATAAATTATAACCACACAATGAATGATTTACTTTTCACAAAATAAAATCTGTTGTGATTGTTATGTCTGCTTTTTTCCAAAACAACAAGGGTCACACACACTTGGTGGGGAAAAATTCAGGAACTATGTGGGCCTTTGTTCATCAAGACTTCCTTTATCATTTCCTATCTAGGATGTTTTTAGGGATTCGTTTTTTACCCAAAATTGCAAAAGTATCAAAACATATTTGGACCTTACAATGAATGTGACACAGCCTATGAAATGTATGCTAGCCTAACCAACACTATCAGATATTTTTGCTTTCCATCACAGTAACAGCCTGTTTTTGCTGCAGTTATGAAACTAACATAATGAGAACTGTGTACTTTTTCATTACCAACAAAACAGAACAATAGCTATTAGCATGTTTGGACAACAGGCTGAACCAAATTATTACCTGCTGTTTCTTTGTCACCTCAAGTAACCCAGCTAAGTAGATACTCGTTCGTGTAGCATTCTTTTACATGTAAACTGCTCTTTCTGTCGCTTCAGGCTGAAGGTGAAGCTCTGTACTTCATTAGGGGGAATACAAAAACGTGTAAGATCACAGTAGGAAACAATGGCAGCAAAGCAGGGAATTAGTTTCATTTACAGGCTATTTACTAGCTATTGTTTCACTAATGTAACATCTCCCAGCTGATTACTTTGGTACATAATCATCAGGAGGTATTAGGGAAGTGCTCAGCTCATTAGTGCTCAGCTTCTTCCTTATTCATTCCTCAGTTGTTCTTTAGCAAATATTTCAGTCCCTTGGATGTCTCCTCACTCTGCTGTTTCTTGAGCATAAACAGTTAAATTTTAATAAGCTAGCATTGTATTCTTTCTTGCAAAATACTATCTAACAAACAAAGTCCTCCAAGCTGTCTTTATCACAGTGCAACAAACTGGTGACTACGTTTAAGCACTAATATACTTCAGCTTTGAGTTTCTGGTGAATTATTTATGAGATAGATTGGAATACACCATTAGAGTTAAACTAGTAACCAATAATCCTACTAACAGGTGGACTAGAGACCAAAACAGTACACCAGACATTACCTGCTCCAGCTTTGGGCCGGCTGTAATTTACACAGATCTGACAGTGTGGCTGGTGTGTTTATTCTCCCCTACATGCTAATGTACCAGCTGTCTGTTACAGACCACTCAGGCTCCGTCTGACCTCATCAGAAACTTCACAAAGACAATTCAATGGCAGCTGGACAAATACTGCCTACAGATTGCTTTGTATGTAACTGTAAGGCTTGACAGTCTGTCTGAACACAAATATCCCTTTTGTACCAGTGTGGTCCCAATGCAAGTCTCCAATCTAGAGCTAAAACAGACTTTGATTGGTGCCAGAAGGCTGGTACTACCAAATTGCTGGGCCCAAAGATGAAACCACTGAATTGGTGGTTACAGGCTAGACTACAACATGAAATTCACCACTGATTGGTAGATGCAGCCTAAAGACTGTGTTCGTGGAAAAGAGGTAACAGCTGTGCTGTTTCATGGTCAACAGAAATGTAGAGCAGATCTTAAAGTTTAACGAATTATGAGGAGAGAATTAGAAATCTAATGAGTGAAACTGTGCCCTCGTACTAAATATGTTTTCCTTAGCTAAAATTTCATTCTTCTTTTCATGATAATGAGTGTAGAAATAACACCTTCTGTCCTCTCGTTCCTTCTTTTCAGTTCGTTTTGGCGTCTTGCACACAGGGAACAGTGCATTCAGGATGTGCAGGACTATGTTTTTGTATCAAAGTCCAGTTTGAGTAGAGCTGATCATCACAATCAGCCTGAAGCTCAGAGCCAAGAAGCCAGTACCCAGCAGGTCACCGAGAGCTGTCAGGTAGGGGATGGAGAAGTTGTCTGGATCCAGGCCCCTGCTCCACAGCCAGCGCACCATCAGGCTGGCCACATAGAGCAAAATCCCCACCTGCATAGTGACAGCAGTCGCACATGTTTCAAAGATGAAGACTCTGTTTCTTTTTAAAGTGCACAGTTGTTTTGAAAATGAAAACCTTTAAGAGGATCTCTGACCTGAAGCAGAGCTGCAAGCAGGAAGCACATGATGAACATTGGGGTCATGGCAGTGTGACCTCCCTGCAGGAGGTGGATGGTGTACAGGAAGAGGAGGTGACCTGGGACCACAAGGCTGACCAGGACTCTGGCTGATTTGGAGTTCACATCTGAATAAACATGGAAAGAAAGTCATAAGCGACTGTTCAATAGGTGCACATTAAAAGCCTATTCCCATGTCTCTCTGGCTGATAGTTAGTTGACTGACTTTTGAACCATACTAGGAGCAGTTAAGATCCTGAGACAGAACCAAGCAAACATGACTGAAACTCAACTCACATGTAAATAGTGTATTTGTTCAGTATCTAACCTGAAGAGAAGAAGGTAGCACAGGGTCCAGGACACTTCTCACTCATGTTGAACGGAAGAGCTCCGGGAACACTCCAGTAGTGGAGGTAAGTAGACATCCTGCTGGCCTGGATGGCCACCAGATTTCCCCCTACACCTGTGTGGATATGAACAAGTCCTGAGCATAGCTGATCGTGTTTGACATTTTAATAAAAACAGCAATAACAGGACAAAAAGCACAACTGCTTTCCAAGATTCCACTGAAAACACCAAAGAAAGGGTGGTGTTGCTGATGACAGGAAAGCACTGCTCATTCAAAGTGACTTTGTAACCACTGCGTTGCGTTTTATTTATGTGTTAATATGGCTGTATTACTGTGGTATTTGCAAACATGCATATATCATAGAGTGCATTACAGTCATCACTTGTTAAGCCACTGTTCCCTTTTCATCTGAGAGTCACACGAGAGGCTGAGCAGGCACTGGAGAGTTAACGGAGTTATCTTGGAAAAATAACTCACCGTCCAACAACTAATTTTGCTAGGAATCTATTCAGCAGTTATTCCTACAGCAGGGTCTCCCGGGGGCTTTCTTCTCTGAATGTCTGGAAAAGGCATACTCATTGTTGTGCCATATTAGTCCCAATGCTGCTCACCCCTCGGGCTTATGTCATTAAAAACAAAACCTCCAGGATTTGCTGAGCTTTGGAGCACATGGCTCATTTGAACAAAAAAAATGGAGTGTTTCTGGTCAGCAAGGCTGCAGAGGAGAGCTCTGAATTGGAATGCAAATGCACTTCCTGTACTGGGATGGCAATACATGCAGGAGTGTTGGGTAGCACTGAGGTTGGCAGGGATGCTGCGGAAATGAGAGCCAGTGAATGCATAGTTGGCATTCTGATCAGGCTTGTGGTTTATGTAAAGACCATTGTTATTCCTCTCTACTTAGTATGCTGCTTTGTGGACAGCAGGCTGGCCACAAAGCAAAGATCTAGCCCACTTTGACAGGAAGGAGACTCCTCGAAATCAGCAGCACATTAATGTCTCATGATTGAGTAAGCCCTCAGATTTGAAGCCCTTTAAAAGCAAGGCTCAGCTTGCTTACCGCCTCGCTGTCAGGGTGTGGACACAGCAGGACTTATAAATGATGGGATTAACTGCTGGGCTCTTGCAGGCTTCAACAATTTCCACATGACATCAGTTGGCTTGATGTTTTGTTTTTTGTTTTTTATTGATAGCAATTAAGCTAACTATGAACTATTCTTCAAAGCTGAGGGCGGATGAAAATACCATAAACCTACATTCCTGCTCTCCATTCTCCTTCAAAAAACATGCCAGCTTTTTTTTTTTTTTTTTTTTTAAAAACACACAGAGAAGATATGCCACTAATTGTTTCACCATAATCAAACAGATATCCCTGAAATGTCTCAACAATCATTAGATGGATAATGCGTCCCTAATGAGATTTGAAACATGATAAACAAGCATGCTGATGTTGCCACTGAACTGCTGCAGACGCGTTTATGAGTGTGGTTGTTTTACTGAATGGAGCAGGATTTAGAATCAGGCTGAGTCAGTTACACCATTTTACAAAATTAGGCAGCATGCAAAACACACAATAACATTACTGCTGTTGCATTTACCTCCCACTGTGGGGAAATAATTATTTGATCCTCTGCTGAATATAAAAGTTTGCTCACTTCCAAAGAAACAAGCAGTTTTGCATTTTTATGGTGAAAGACAGAATATCAACCAAAAATCCAGGAAAGACACATTACATAAAAGTAATAAAAGAAGGCTTGGGAGAAAGTGCTGTGGTCGAAATAGAGCTCAAACAACATCCCCACAGTAAAGCACGGAGGTGGAAACATTATGCTTTGGGCTGTTTTTGATCTAAGTGTATAGGATGACTTTTCAGCAGGAATCCAGGGGTCATGTAAAATATTAGATGAGAACCTCCTCTCAGCCAGAACATTGGATGGGTCTTTCTGCACAACAATGGCCCATGAAAACACCAAGGCAACACAAAGAGTGGCTAAAGCAGAAGCTCATTAAGGTTAATGAGAAATCAGTCGTATAGAAGGGGACTGAAGCTTCGGGTTACCAGTTTATAAAGCACCCGGTCACAAAAACAGTGGGCTCAATGCCCTGTACTTGCCAGTAATGTCATGAAACGCCGTGTGGCAGGAAGGAGATGAGGACTCAAAGTGCAGGACTCACAGACTCAAGGGATGCACTCAAAACCACAGCTTTATTTGCTGGTCACAGAAAAACGGGCATACAAAGTAAACTAAACTGGGAAACAACAACCTAAAATTCACAGGGAGATCCACACAGCGTGAGGAACAACACAACACTGACTCAGAGAAACACAGGGTTTAAATACACTGGGGAGTAACGAGGGGAATGAGACACAGAAGGAGGGCACAGCTGGGAGAAATCAGGACTGATGAGACAAGCAAAGCAGGATGCATTCACATAAGACACGGACCTTCAAAGTAAAACAGGAAGTATCAGAGACAGAAACAGAGACGCGAACTTGACACAGTGGAGACAGCAACTAAGAAACACAGAGACATAAACCACAAGGCAGAGGACTCTAAGAACTGAAAGACACAGAGGGGAACTCAAACATGCAGACACAGACTTACACAGAACAGAGGGGACACAGAGAAACATGAAGGGCAAGGGATCGAAACTAGAAACCATAGAATAACTCACACAAGTACAATAACACAAAAATCACAAAGAACTAAACGTGCTGGGTCAGGAGACCCAGGACCCTGACAAGTAAGGGCTTTTCCACCAAGTAAGTCATGTTTTGCTTGGGTATTAAATAATTATTTCACTCAATGAAATCCAAATCAATTCATAACTTTTATTTATTTTTGTTTCCGGATTTTTGTTCGGTGTTCTGTCTCACTCCAATAAAATTAAAGCTTTCTCTCAAAATTTCAAAAATACCAGTGGATAATTTGCTTATGTATTTAAAGTGTTAATAAATGCTGCATAATAAGGTTTAAAATGTGCATTTCAAACCTTATTATCCCTCACTTATTAACTGTTTGCATGAATGCTCTGCAGGGGAAATTAAGAAGAAACGGAAAAATGTAATTTTTTTTCTGCACATATCTGCACTGGCTGGTTCTTCTTTTACTCACCATTGATGACTGGAGTAAACACTGCCATACCCTCAAAGTTTGGATTGCTCACAGTTTTATCCAGAATCAAACCACCAATACTGGGGAAGAAGAAAAGACATGATACATGTGAGTTGCACCTATTGCACTCCTACACTGAAAAGGAAGTGACACAGTGATCTGTGACAGGTTGCCTCACCTGCTGATGGACATGGCCAAAATGACTGGTTGCCAGCCTGACTTTAGGACCTCTCTGATTTGAGGAGAGCGACTAGCAATAATGACCCACACAGGGACGAGGAACAGGAAGAAACCACACACCACAGAGGGCAGGTACCATATGTCTGCAGAGTAACATTGTAGAGAATAAATCTTTCAAAAATATTCCACAAACTCTTCATGTACTAAAAAAAAAGATTGCTTCTCTTTATCTTTGAGTCTTTTTTGAGAGGGAGCAGGGATTGGTGAAAGAGCAGACTGTCAGAATGTCTGGCATCTACTTCTGCTGTAAGCATAAAAATAAGAGATGGGATCTGCTGCCCTCTCCTGGCTGAAACACTTTGCTAATAACTGGCTGTAATAACTTAGTTAACCTGCTTTAACGACTGCTTTATATCACAAAAAATGCTCTAATTGTAGCTGCGATCTTGTTTCTTTAAACGTTCAGAATATTGAAACATACTGTGTACTGAAATGGTGCTTTTATAATGTTATATATGACCTCTGACCTCTGTAAAGGAAGAAGAGACTGCTGACCCCAGCGAGCAAAGACAGAGTGATGAGGTCTCCCAGGCTGGCAGCGATGGGCGTGGCCACGTTATCTGGGTTGATGCCCACCTTCCTGGAGCCGATGATCACTGCCACCATCACTAACCCTGAAACCAAACACAGGATACCAGAGATGAATTCCTCCATGTTGTGTTCTACATTGTTTCTTCCTCCAGAGCAACGAGGTCCTTTGTCTGACCTAGAGACAGTGCGGCAATGAAAGCAGTGGTGACACTGCTGGCACACAGGACAGCAGCCTGGGTAACATCCACTCTCCCTTTGGTCAGACCTCCAAGACCTACTGCTGCAACTGCTGCCAGGACGCCAACCACTGTGGCCTGAGCCTGAGGAAGAAGGACAGAGCAAAGACAAGGAAACAAAGCAATGAAAGAGCAAGTTTGATTTCAGACATTTTATTCTTTTAACTAAAATGTCACCAAATGTGCCCTGTGAGAGTAACAAAAATGCTTAAAGATTCTGATTCTATTTCCATATTTTCCTTCTTCGAATCTACTACAATAGCTCTGCATGGTAAAAAAAAACAAACTTTCTTAACCTTATACAAGGCCTTTGAGCAGCCCCTGTGTTCTATCAGATGAGGAGATTTTCTAGCTCCTCTCCCTTTAAGCCAACTCTCATCTGATTGGTGCCCACAGATATTTTTGCACATGTTTTTATAATACAATTATATGTTTCGAGCTGAAATGTTCCTGTTAAGGATCCCCCCTCTGTCATACTATATCAAATACAACTTCGTACCTACCCTGATCATTTTTAACACATATAAGGGAGAAAATAAGGAACAGCATCCTATAACATTTTCTCCATAACAGTTAAAAGATTAATTTGTATTCCATATTTTATTAGGCATGTTTATAAATCCTAGTATTAAACTCTGTGGTAGCAATAAATATATCAGTGTCAGGACCACTTTATGCCTGCTTTTTCCATCTGCAATAACTCATATTGTACAGTATGGGGACTCCCTGTTCCTTTCACAGGCACTTGTGAAAGGCTGAGTGTAAGGTGAGGAAGAGGGCGATACCATGCCGACCTCACAGAACAGTGGAGGCATCACTGACATGACATTAAGTGAGAAATACAGTGAACAGTGTGAATTGGAGGAGCACTGGGGAAGGGAAGTGGGTTGCAAAGCAGCTTGCAGAAACAGGAGTGCCTGTCTAGAGGCTGAAGCAGCTGAAATTGTGCACCTATGTGAAATTTGCCACCAGGTTGCATACAGGGGCATCAGCCGAAGCACTGACTTTACATTTCACAGTATCCTTCCATGAAATATATGAAATGCTAAATACTTTGAAGAGTGCTGGTTAAATATCTTCATGCCGCTCGCACTGTGTACACTGCAGAGTGTATTTTCATTAGCAGACACTGAATTAAACCAGTTTTGGGATTTTGTGCTTCAATATCTGATCTGATCTCCCATTTTTTAATCATCCCCGACTGTTATCATGTGTGGTTAATTGGCTGAGCTACATTAGTGTCTTGAAAGGGAGGACGATCTAATCACCCCAGCAAAGCTTTTTGAGTTTAAGCGGATTGTCACGAAGCCAGCAGCGAACCGGCGAAGTGATGGAGTGTGTTATTAATAGGATGAAGAGTGCGTTGTGCTGCAGTGTCACCTGAATGAGAGCCAGATTACAGAACACCATCCTCCACTGCTGCTGGGCCTCATCCATCTGCCCTGTGTTGGCCTGTGGGCACAAACAGGTTTACGTAATCATATTGCTCCATCGCACAGTCTCGAGTGTGAATGTGTAAAATCAATTCTCACTGGCAGACAAGATTATTTATTAGTACAGTCTAAATCCTGGAAAGATTTGATAAAGAAATTCACATGTATTGATTGTCGGTTCTTGTTCAATGATGCTGTATCAATGTCAGTTTATCATGTAATGTTTTAAAGGTATATTTGTGTTAAAAGACTAGGTGTGTGAGTGTGTTTCCACCCACTGCTGTTGACAGTCTGGATGCCAGTGTCATTTCCAGATTCCCCTTCAGACCCACGAGGGCTGGCACCAAGATAAACACCTCGGAGATCTCCTTGAACACCTCCCAGTGCTAAAATAAACAAAACAAAAAAACTGCACAGTAAAGCTACTGTTTGCTAAAACACAGTTGGCCCCTTATTTTTTAAACTGGTCACTCTCTCTTTCCTTTCACCACTTTTATAGGTGAAAAACACAGCAAGTGATCTCCTGGAGCTTTGTTGAGGACATGCCGGTTCTATCTGATCAAATCACTCATACACACTCCAGATTTGTGGTCTAATAAATACTAGGACTGCAGTGGGTGAGTGGTCACTGTGTTCTTATCTAATCACATTCTTTGTGGTCAGATAAGCACCAGTGCTTTCATATGAAGAAAGCAGCAACATTAATAATTTCCAGGGGTTGATGGATTATTTTTGGCAGTGGGAGAGCTGACTACCTCAGAGTAAGACCCCTGCATTTTCATAAATGTGGACACGCTCAAACAAAGTTTCACTTCTGGTTTAATTAATGTTTACAACATTAGTCCAAAGGATTTTCTCCCAAGCTAATTGACACAACCTTTAACAAAGATTTGCTATGGTGTTTAGCTAAAACAGACAGCCAGAACATTGACAGTACTCTGCAGCATTTTGCATCATACAGCTACACTATCAACATGCTGGTAAAACAGTCGAACTTGTCTGTGTTAGTATATTAATCCAGATTTTGGATTTATGGGTTTAGGCTGTGTATGAATATTTAGGAATGGGTGTATGATTTATCTAATAGTAAATTTAGAACAGCATGTATCCAACTGCAGCAGCACCAGACGTCACGGTCTGTTCAGTCTTTCAGTAGCAGCAGCAACTCAGAGACTAAACTGGATGTGAAGACTCCTCATTTATTTAAACAGAACAATGGTTCAGTCCACTTAAAAGCTTACTTCATTTTAAAAGTGTAAAAGTATGTAATATGCTTCGTTTTTTGTATCTTTCATTTAGTCTTAAAAAAAAAAAAAGCTAGCAAGTAAAGTGTTGCCTGTAAGACGGCCATCGCTGTTACACGTGACCAAGTGACATCATTCATTAGTTTTGGACTTTGGATTTGAATATTGTGGCCTCAACTTTAACATATTGGCTGCCACTTTATTTCTGTTTTGTGGAGCAAGAAATAACCATAGTTGTGTGAGAGGGTGGAGTACAAATTACCAGCTAAGGTTAGCTAGTAGCTATATATATATATATAATCAGCTTCCTTTGTGGACACAGCGTTAGGTGTACAGATATCTGCTAATAAATAAAACTGAATCCTTAATGGAAGACGGCTGATCTTCATATTTCAGCCTACCACTAACATTTGTTCCTATTATTTCTGTACATCTTGGTTTGATTGCAAAGCATATATAGGGAATGACATAATCACCTCTTTCATCCTCACTACTGACCATTCAAGGTTACATTAAACACTGTCACTATAAAACCTGTTTTACAATCATACCTAATTAGAAATTAGTGTATACAATTTAACACATTGAAAATAATTAGTTTTCATACTTGCACAACATCCATGACTATTCCTGCTGCCACCATTCCCAGGCCAGACACCAGGTAAGGCAGCAGGATTTGGGCTGCAATGATCCATGAGTTCTCTGGCAGGAAGCGGCAGGCTGAGCGGGTTAGGTTGCACTTGAAGCCCCTCAGCTTCTTCCCCTGGAAACGAAACTCCAGAGCCAGATGGGTCACCACCATGGCTGATCCCTGTTAACCCATCCTTGCCTCGAGCTGAAGTGTTTCTAGCGAGGAGTGTCCACAAACTCAGCTTTCGAGCTGAATCCGTGAAGGCTAGTTTGAAAAGAATGTAACGATCCACTTAGAGTAAGAAGTTGTAACCAGGACAGAGAAGATTTCCTTTTTCCAGACTGTTAAGTTCTTGTGACAAAAATCCAGGCTTGCCGTTAAGTCACAGGTGATGAAAAACAATGCTTAAAGAAGAAGTAAACAGTGCTTTGCCCTACACCTGTCACTCCAGGACTGGCAGGGCAGCAACACAAAGTGCTTTTGCAAATGGTGGACTAGCCAGAGGAATGGAAACTTTCATCTACTTGAATGGACCACTCACACAATCACACAATCACACACACAGACAACACACACAGGACCAGTTGACAGCAGGTCTGCCAGGCCTCTTCTGACACTGTGCTACTGACAGACCATCACACACACGCACACACAGACACACACACACTCTCCAGCCACACACATGCCCCCTGTCTTTCTCTCCTCACGCCTCACTCTTCAGCAGCCGGGCGGCTGAGGCGGAGCGCTGGAATCCCGGCCTCTCGCGGGGCCTGAAGAAGGTCCAGGTCCTGTGAGACAAGGACATCCAGAAGGCCAGCAGCTTCTTCTCAGCCCTACTGTGCTGCCACTCCTTCTCCCTCTCTATCTCCTCGCTGCCGTGCTGTTGCTCTGTGTGAGCCTCACTGCTTTGGAGCACCTTCTTCATTTTAATCTGTGGGACGCCTCGGTGTCGGCCTAGGCTGCGCTGATGGACGGTCTGACGTCTGAGGCTTGTCTGAGGAGGCAGGGTGATTGTTGTTGTTCTTCTGGTAGGGCTTCCCTCGTCTTCCAGGTGGATCGATGAGTCGTGACGTTTTCTGTGATGGTGGCAGTCACAGGAAAAGTGCACACGAGTGTGTGTGCAGGCGTGATGATCAGAAAGATGTCTGAGTAGAAGCAGAAGTGACCAGGCTGTATCAGGACTCTTCTCTCCTCCTGGTCTGTTTTCAGATCAGTTCAGAGGAGACTGCAGATGTGCTCTCCCCCTCTTTGATAGCTCCTCCTTCTCCTCACACTCTGAGTGGGTGACGCACTCAGAGCAGCAGGTGCTGTACCTGTCACAGACACGTGGTGCTGCTGCTGCCTGCGGAGGATGCAGTGTATCCTCTTTGACTGGAGGAAGCACACACGCTGCCACTAACTGATATTTACAGTCTGTCAGAGATCATTACGTCACACCTTCTTATGTCATTTGCTCTTCTGTGTTACACAAAGTAATGATTAGCGACGCATGGCACAGCAATAATAATCTGCTGTTTCTTCATGTGGATAAACTGCTGCTTTAGGTGGAAGCGAAAGATGGAAATGGGGCAAGTTCTGCGACTTTGTGTTTAAAAAGAGCGTTTTTTCCTCCCCTCTGGTCAAACTACAGTAAACATAGTAAAATAATGTAAAACAGCAGAGCAGATGAAGCAGACTGCTTTGTAAACGACATTGTCTCAGACACACGTACATGAGGACAGTGACTCAGCTGAAAAGTGTCCTTGAGACATGACTTGGTGCTCCACTCTCTACAGCTCCCCCTTCTGACTTCTTCCTGTACTTTGAACAGTGAAGCAACAGCTGCTAAACACTGAGCTGTAACTAAAATAATCTTCTTGAGCATTGCTTTTTGGCATCTCAGATCACCTCACATCTCTCTGTTTCACTAACGCACCAGCAAAACACCAAAAGGCTTTTCTAGATCCCGGAGCTCATATTACATTTCAAATAAATCTCAAAAGGGCCTGTTGCCAAACACAGAGGCAGCTTCAGTCCATATTTCAATGTCAGTGAAGATTCACTGCACCTCTTCCTCTCAAAGTTTGGTAGTAAATTTTATGTAATAAAAAGGAAACAGGTCCTGCTTTCAGTAGGAAAACAGTATCTGTCCCATAAAAGTTAGAAACACTGAGGACTCTGGCTGGATGCTAGATTCACTTTTAAAACCAACATGGAACATCTATCAAAAAGTTAAAGACATGTATCTCACTCGTCATACAATCCACTGGATTATACTGCGTATATGCATGCCTTTACATCCACCCAGAAGCATGCAGATTATGTGTATCACTGTGTGTGTGTGTGTGTGTGTGTGTGTGTGT